ATTCCAGTGAAATATATTTATGTTTGTGGTTGTAATGTGACAAAATATGGAAAAGTTCAAGGGGTATGAATACTTTTGCAAACCACTGTATAAAAGTCTGTCCTTGTGATACTGTACAGCACATGTGTCAGGGTGACTCCCGGGGGTGGGACCCAAATTATTATTATTATTTTTTTACTTAACATGAAATTTGTTTCTTATATCAATGGTAAACTTTAAACTTATGATTAAATGCAACAAAATAAGCTTAAAAGGTGAACGATAATAACAATTGTTATGCACCTGAGCTGTTGGCTTTAAGTAACTGAGCAATTTAGTTGGATAGCTCAGTATTAAGGTCTGAAAATAAGCTGCTTTAAGGTCAGCATCAACCATAAACTAAATCTGCCATAATGCATATTAGCTACTCACTAGAAACTCATCAGTGAGAAAAACTTTATTAGTTTTACTTTTATTAATGTATAATAATAATAATGTATTTATTTCAGATTTAGTCAGTCATACCCTTGGTTCTTATCAGTGTTTAAAAGAGGACATGTTAAAACACTGTTTAGTCAAAGTTAAACATGAAAAGTCAAAGTTAACTACAACTGGCCCTGCGAGGGCCACCGTAACGCTCATGTGGCCCTCGGTGAAAATGAGTTTGACACCCCTGCTGAACAGTGTGAGGTACAGTCACTGGCGACTTTATTTTTTTTTACCGTTATTTTACCAGGCAAGTCCCAATGAGATCTCAGATCTCTTTTTCAAGGGAGGCTTGGGCCTGAAGGCAACTTATTGTACATGTTTCTGTGGGGTGGGGGAAAACCGGAGTACTTGAAGAAAACCCACGCAAGCAYGAGAAGAACATGCAAACTCCGCACAGAAAGACCGCAGGTTCAAACCGGGTATGGAACCCAGGACCTTCTTGCTGTGGGGTGTCGGTGCTAACCACTGAGCCGTCGTGCTGCCTTTATTAAGTACATCTTTCCAACTGCTCATTAATGCAAATGTCAAATCAGCCAATCACGTGACAGCAACTCAATGCATTTAGGCATGTAGACATGGCCAAGATGATCTGCTGCAGTTCAAACCGAGCATTAGAATGGCAAAGAAAGGAGATTTAAGTGACTTTGAATGTGGCACGGTTGTTGGTGCCAGACTGGCTGGTCTAAGTATTTCAGAAACTGCTGATCTACTGGGATTTTCACCCACAACCATCTCTAGGTTTTACAGAGAATGGTCTGAAAAAGAGAAAAGATCCAGTGAGCAGCAATTCTGTAGGTGCAAACGCCTTGATGATGCCAGAGGTCAGAGGAGAATGGCCAGACTGGTTCAAGCTAATATAATGGCAACAGTAACTCAAATAACCACCCGTTACAACCGAGGTATGCAGAAGAGCATCTCTGAACGTAGAACACGTCGAACCTTGAGGCGAATGGGCTACAGCAGCAGAAGACCACATCGGGTGCCACCCCTGTTAGCTAAGAACAGGAAACTGAGGCTACAATTYACACACGCTCACCAAAATTGGACAATAGAAGATTGGAAAAACATTGCCTGGTCTGATGAGTCTCAATTTCTGCTGCAACATTCAGATTGTAGGGTCAGAATTTGGCGTTAATAACATGATAGCATGGATTCATCCTGCCTTGTATCAACGGTTCAGGCTGGTGGTGGTGGTGCAGTGGTGTGGGGGATATTTTCCTGGCATTCTTTGGGCCCAATTGAGCATCGTGCCAATGCCACAGCCTACCTGAGTATTGTTGCTGACCATGTCCATCTCTTTATGACCACAGTGTACCATCTTCTGACCATGTCCATCTCTTCATGACCACAGTGTACCCATCTTCTGATGGCTACTTCCAGCAGGATAACGCTCCATGTCATAAAGCGCAAATCATCTCAGACTGGTTTCTTGAACACAACAATGAGTTCACTGTACTCTAATGGGCTCCACASTCACCAGATCTCAATCCAATAGAGCAGCTTTGGGATGTGATGGAACAGGAGATTCACATCATGGATGTGCAGCCGACAAATCTGCAGCAAATGTTTGATGCTGTCAAGCGAATATGGACCAGACTCTCTGAGGAATGTTTCCAGTGCCTTGTTGAATTTATGCCACAAAGGATTAAGGCAGGTGGCAAAAGTGGGTCCAACCTGGTACTATCAAGGTGTACCTAATAAAGTGGCCAGTGAGTGTATAATACATACTGTACTGCACACTATCTTACCAACAGCAATACAACAGTCCAACAACGAATGGAATGTAGACACTGGTGTTAAAAACTACCATTTCTTGTAAGAATGTTTATTGCTCATTGTATTTCATGCCAACATTTTAAACAGATCTTATTTGATCAAATACTACTTGGAGCATTAGTTGGGGATGTGGTTGGACATTGTTTGATTTTGAACAATTCTGGTTCTTCATTTCAAATCCAATTCTTAACAATTCCCAATTCAGATTCTATTTAGAGGTGGGATCAAACGAATTTACATGGTTCAAATGAGGTAGCTGACCAGAGTTCTTTCTGGATGAAATAGTGTTGAATTCTCTAAGAATTATGAACTTTTTACTTCTAAGAACATCACTACGAATTCCTCACGGGGCTATTATCCAATTTATATAGATCCCAACTGAAGGATTTAAATGAAAAAAAAGCATATGTCCACTTTGTCCCTTCAGTGTCAGACAATTGGTTGTCAAACTGTTCCTCCTGCCGTACGTCATTGTCCCCTTAACAAGCAGCATCTTCTAGTTCCAGTCTCTAGGTAGTTATCAGTAGAAAAAGTACAAATGATGTGGTCTGTGGCTCTGAAGCAGTGTCGTAAACCTGAGACTTTAAAGATGAGGAATTTGTCTGGCCATCTTTTGTTCTCTGAAGCTTTGCCTCATTGCTCAACTTGATGAGTCATCCCACAACACCACGACTGCATCTGAATGAGCGAACGAGTGTGAGCCATTGTTTAGAGTATGGATGTACAAAAAGGAAAGATGGAAATGGGACAAACTATTCTCTTTAAATATGTAACAGTATGTTTGCAGCTCGTTGCTATCAGTCTTGGTTTGGTTTTGGAGCTTCAAGAGACCAAAAGAAATCCAGTCCAGTGTAATCAATGTGAATGTGTGTGTTTCTATTCTGTGTGCTGTGTTCCACATGTGGCTTTAATCTCTGCTTTCTGTTACCTCCCACCCCTCTTTTACCCTTCACAGAAACTTGTGGCCACCAAAGAGGTCTTAGTGGTTCAAAACAAGTCATTTCTTTCTGGATCTCACATCATGTTTGTCCTCTTTGTTCTTTGACACCATCAAGGCTCTGTACATCATAAAACATAAGAATCTGTTTTTATTCTGCAAAGTTGAAGGAAAGTGATCATCCAGGTCAGGATACGTCCATATGTTTGTGTGCTGGTGATGTATTGATGGATCAGCCAGTAAACAGAACCTTCATCGCAAATATCAGTTGAGTTTATTGCTCTGGGTTCAGATCTGCTACGTTCATTGTGTTTACTTGTTTTTCAGGTGTCAAGTGAAAGCCACAGCTCTGTCCCACAATTACATGTGTATCCCCTCACTCTGACCAGGCAATCATAGCTTTGCAGAGTCAATAAACAGCTGCACATGAACTTGTTCACACATACACAGTTCTGTGCCCAGAACTTATGGAAAGTGATCTCTTACATTGGCTTTTCTCACACACAGCAGACACTCATGTTTCTTCTCTGTTTGTCTTTGTGTGCTTTTTTCTAACTTTGGCCAAAGTACAACAAGCTGCTGCCTCTTCAGGCTTAATCCTGAATTAGATTATTTACTGTTAAAATGAACTGATTGGGGTTTCCCAATGGTTTGTGGTAATTTTTAGACATCAAATCAGGTATTGGACAGTTTATGATGTTGATTTAGTTGTTTATGGCCCCATAATTACAGAATAATAACTTAATGCTGTCTTGTTGCACAATACATTCCACTATATTTTGGAAAAAGAAAAAATGACTCTGTTTACAAGAATTGTGATACAAAGTTTTCATTTTGTGTCCATACCTAAAAATATCTTTCTAAAAGTAACATTTCCTGTTGTGGAAATGTTTATATACCAAATAACAGAAATATTATGAAGAATAAAAGAACTTTGTAGAATTGTCATATGGCTGAATACGGCTCTTCTTTTTTATTTTATTTTATTTTATTAGTATTTTTTCTGTAAAGCGGTTGCTTTTTTCAATTCAGCAATCATTATGCTCTCCTTGGGAATGAAAGTTTGGGAGAAACAGATGTATCTGTTCAGGGCTTTAAACCTGATTAGTTGAAAATTTGGGGTAATAGTGAAAATCCTAATCGATGCTAAATACATGTGAAATTTTGTCACAGAACATTGTTGACACCAATTATTAGATGCACAACAGGCTCTGTATCAGACTCCTGTTGCTCATTCTTCTCCCTGGGGACTCGGGCCTCTTTCATTAATGTTATTTAAGAATGTCTGGCAACTCAGGATCTCTGGGTCAAAGTAATTTGTTGTCTTACTGAGTTCCTTTCCCTTTAGACCCTGCTGTGCACTTATTATTATTATTATTGTTGTTGATGATACACAACTATTCCTAATGGAGAAAACTCATCAAATCTTGTCAGGATTTACTGCTATGAAGAAACTTATAGCTCCCAGGTGAAAGCCTCCTAAAGACATATTTTTGTTGACTGACTGTGATTACAACACACACACACACACACACACACACACACACACACACACAC